GCATTGCGCATCCGGCTCTGCCCCCTTCTGACGCGGCTCTGACAGTACTTAGGAAGACCGCGCCAGGGAGAAGGCTTGGGGATTGTGGGACCTACTTACGGGGATACACGCCGGCTCCACAAGCTCTGACAAGCCGTCCTAGCCTTTGAGCCAATGCAAGGATTGCTGCATGCCATAGAGGATTACTGGAGAAGTACTGGAGGATACTTTGCTAATTTACAAGTGGACTATAACTCTGAACTCTTGGAGGACAACTCACCTTAACCTTAAGTATATCGTTCAACTATTGTCTGCAATATCATTTATTAATTAACCAATTCCTGCTTGCTCAAATCTTCTCTGCTTCAAGTTATTAATTATATGGAGGACAACTCCCATCATGCTTATTTACTATGAACTGTTTCTTGGAACCAATTCCTGCTTGCTCAAATCTTCTCTGCTTCAAGTTATTAATTATTCGGAGGACAACTCCCATCATGCTTATTTACTATGAACTGTTTCTTGGAACCAATTCCTGCTTGCTCAAATCTTCTCTGCTTCAAGTTATTAATTATATGGATGACAACTCCCATCATGCTTATTTACTATGAACTGTTTCTTGCTTTGCAAATACTCTTTGCTACCTGCTTAATGTTTCTATTGAAGATTATTCCCAGCAACCTAAATAATCTTATTTAATACTTCTCTGAGGAAATACTTATTAATGAACTTTGTATTGTTTGATAACCTGCACTTTCTTCTTATTGGATTATTGCCTATATGCAATTCATTTAAGTTTATCAATCATTAAAACTTTGTTTGATTCTCAAATTGCCTGCAATCCTCTTTTTTCTTAAAGCTACAGTATTGATACTTTAAAGATTCTTTGTTTCTTTACTATTATAATTAAGAAGTTCTAAAAGCTGCAGTTAAGTTCCAATCCAAATAACCCAAGTAGCATAACAGTTTTACACGTAATGGTGTGTCTGATTTCATACTTTTTGTTAGTATGTGGATTATTAAAACATTTAGCCTGCAACATATGTTCACAAGTAACACAACCAAGACAGCGTACACATCCGCGACCAACAATCTTGGATACTTTAGTATAGCTCTTTACTGGATCCGTCTGCACCAACATGTCCTTCAAATTCTTATTACGTTTATGACAGATGAGTGTAGCTTCTTTGAAGACTTTAGGGAGTGTGTCGTCCGTAGAGACTATTTGCCAATTGTCACTGATAGTTCTGGCTACCAATGGTGATTGATGATGGAAAGTTATCGGGAATACCAATTTCTGTGGAGTGTCAACTTTCCGAGGTGCATGTGCCGTTCTGGCTTCATTCAATGCTCGCTCAAGTATGTGTAGTGGATTTTGTGTGTTTGTGTAGTTTCAGTGTGTGTAAATATGTGAGGTAGGATATACGAGGGGCTGCATTCCGTGGCCAAAAAGCTTTTTTTTTTTTTTTGCACTCCCTTTTAGTCTAATTGTACAGGCTGCAAACTGCCTATATAGTGAAGGGGGCCCAGCAATCTTTAGGTTCCAGCAGCTCCTCTCTCCTGAGCATGGCCTGTGTGCAATGCAGAGCATTGGCATGGTAACTCGCGGCAATGCTCTGATGGTCAGGGGAATTGGAGAGAGGAGCAGCCGGAAGCTGGAAATCGCTGTGCCCCCTCTTCGCTATACTTGGAAACAGTGGCCCTCAGAGCACTATCAGAGACTTTTTTTTCGCCTCTAGTGGTGGAGGATTACAAAACCAGGGGGAGACTTTGTCTTCCCAAGCCGTTCGAATCCCCCAGGATCGCCGGGCCTTTGACAACCATCACTGTTGTCGTGCCCTGCTGGCAGCTCTGGCTAACCTGATTTGTGTCCCCGGCCGCAGACTAGGTTTGTTTCTGTATGACAGGCAGGAGATAACACCAGACAATTTATAGGCCTAATAGAAATAATGCATAGACAAAAAGTCCTGGGCTTTTTACTGACATTAGATGCCAACACATCTTTCAACCACTTACACTTGCAGTTTATTTCCTACATGGTACATAGATTTATTTCCCACAAAGATTCCTTAGTGGAGTAATGGCATTGCATGTGTCCCCTTCGGCCAGAGTCCTCAAACCAGGATTTCTATCTAAGAATTTTTTTTTTTTACAACAAATGGTACACTCTAGGGTTGCCCCCTTTCCCCATTAATTCTTATTTTGGCATTAGAGCCGTTCATCCAGGTCTTCAAACATAATCTACACATCTCAAGTGTCGTCACTCCAGTTGGAGAGGAAAAGATAGTGCAACTAATACTATAAGACCCAACACGCAGAGCTATGAAACATATAATAGTACAAAAAAGAACAAGGACAGCGTATAATCGGACATGGTAGCATGGTCAGACACGACTTAAAAAAAGAATAGTCAAAAAACAAGCCTAGGTCAGGGAAACAGAAAGAGGCGGATTGAGAAAACTAGCCAAAGTTCAAGAATACCAGAAATAGGTAAAGTAAAAATGCAAGAAAAAGTAAAATACCCCAAAAATTATCAAGAAAAAGAACTCTGCACTCTCTGACAAACATTTAGTGGAAACCACGACAGGGCACTGATAAGAAGCTATTCAGGGCTTAAATATGCCTCTCAAACCATTGATTTTGTAGGATTTCAGACTCTGACTCCAAAATGTGCATGTGCGGTGATGATTTGACATTGCACGCACGTCGGTGCCATCTTGGTTGTGGACAGTGGTATGTATTTTATTTAACCTGAAAAGGCTGCAGCCACCGTCTCTTAGAATGCTGCCCCGCCTGGGGCCCAGAGCACAAAAGAGTCGGGCGGCAAACTGCCGCGATCCAGATAGGTAAAATGAATTCATTTTGGTGTGGCCGCACTGGTCATGCCGGTGTAAGAGCTGGAAGCCGTGATAGGTAGCTGTTTTTGCTGACGACATTCTGATACTGTTAAAGGAACCTAAAGTAACACTGTAGAATTTGATGCAGACTCTCCAAGATATTGGTAACGCCTCCTATTAAAACAATATCTTAAAAACCCAAGCCTTACAAATTGATCTACCTAATGACCACAAAAAATCTGTGGCTTAAGTATTTTCTTTAGAGTGGTGTGACAAATCTCTCACTTATCTGGGTATCCAGTTGGCAGCTTTTCAGGGGCAGGTGTTATCAGTGAATCATTGTAAACTGCTAACAAAGATTCAAGAGCAGGCAATATTAACTCAATCAAGAGTTAACTTGATCGGCCTAATCTGACTATGCCCACTTATATCCCTAAATCCCTTCTCCCCAAATTCCAAAAAGTTTTAAATGCACATGTTTGGAAGCATAGACCTTCAAACTTTTCTCAAGCCCCCTTGTTGCTTTCCAGGTCACCAACATTGTCAGTATTGTATATTGTAGATATACTTACCTGGTCCTCAAGCCGATCGAGTACCTCCAAATAAACGTTAGCCCATATTGTAGCGAGAACGCAGTGTATACTTCACACTGTGTAGGGTCTTTTCAGAGAATATTAGTTCAATTTAGAAATGCTGTAATCCGTAGTCTAGTTGAGGTGCCCTCGAAGGCATGTTGAGGGAAAGAGTTGTAGGATTTCTGTATGCCTCTGTTACATTTTTTTTGTAAATCTGTTTTTATTGAAGTTTATGGTAACAGAGGTAATAGATGACAAAGAAGTTTTTCACATGGGACACGCAGGTCCTCATCAGAAAGAGAACACAAATACAAAACTCATGTGGTAAGTATGGTCACAAGGAGCTTGGGTGTAGTTATGCTCCTGGGCCGGGTCGTAGCATTAAGTTTTTCCATCGGTCAACATATCAGTTACCTTCCTTTCGCCCTCCTTTCCCTCTGATGTATGTCAAAGGGTATAGCATTCTGCTTCCTGTCTAACGTTGTATGTTCACCTGTGACTTGTAACTCGATGTTTACCTCACTTAGACAGGTGGGCTGCGTCATACCCTGTGGTATATGACCCTATTCTATCTAGCTGGCCTATCCGTCCCTGTGCTCTAGTGGGGAAACTCAGGTCCTTATCAATTTCGGAAATGTTTGTCGGTGTACTATTATATATTTGTTTGTGATCAGGGAGGATGTCCCGCTACATGCGACCTTTGCCTCGTCTGTTTCTACTCTTTCATGTTCTGTAGGTATGTGTGATGTTCTGTTGGTTGTGTTTATGAAGTGTGTGTGTTGTGTCTCTCGCTGGTTGTTCGGTGTGTGAGCACCCGTGTTGCGCCTTACATTTCTATGTCGGGGTTTCTCTTGTGTGTCTGGGTAAGGTTGGGGTGGGAGGGGAAGAGGTGAGGTGGGGCGGTCCGAACTACGAGAGGCCCACGTCCGTGCCCGTCCCAGTTCCGGGGTCATCCCCTCCGTGAGTATCGAGCGATGTACATGAACCACGGTCTCCATAATTCTACATGCTTGAGTTCCCTTCCTGTTAGGGAGGCATGGAGTGCCTCCGTGCTCTGAAGGTCTTCCACCCGTTGTATCCACTCCGTCTTCGTCGTTGATGTGGATATTAATCAATAAACTGATTATCTTGTGTATCTGCCCCTTACCAAATTAAAGAAATAATGCCTGCACGCTGCTGAAGTAATTCACACCAGACACAGGTTTCGGGTTAATGAAAAACTTGAGTAATCTTTATTTAGGGGAGACGACATGTCCCTTATAAAGCAAAATTACATCATAAGCATTGTCAGAGATAACATGAAATAATACATCAATAATTGGTTAGGTGTTAAGTGGTTTATTTAATGCTCTGCCTACTGAGGGTGATGTCACTGGCATCTTGGAGGTCTCCCCCAGATTCCAGTGCCATCTTGTTAATGAGGGTGTTTGCCGATGTTAAAGTGGAAACTCCCGGGGGGCGGAGCCTGACCTCGAAGGAAGATGGACGCCTAATTCCTGAGCTCTCTCCCCACGGCACGATAATCCGCTAACATCGAAATCCCCACTAGTCACAACCATCCCAAACCAACATTGAACGGTACCACTCACCCTACCCGACCTCCAAAACAATGGGTGGCGGGAAGAAAAGAGAGCAAACCCCATCGGTGGCAACACTCTTCCGCACACCGACCACCTCGCAGAGGCCTACAGATTCCCAACCGATAGAAGAGGACGACTCTGGGCCTGAGGATACCATCCCCTCATCGGACCCAACAGCCCCACTCACAATCGGGGTACTACGTGGCATGCTCTGCGAGGAAACTGCCGACTTCAAAACCCACGTGGCCGCGGAAATCACCAAGCAGCTCGAGGGCCTCAAAACTGAAATGGCCACCCTCGCCTCCAGGACGGAACAGGCGGAGAGCCGCATATCAAAAATCACGTCTACCACACAGGAACATGCCCAAGACATCGCCTATTTCCATGGCAAAATCGCAGCCCTGGAGGACGGCATGGAAGACCTTAATAATAGGTCGCAGAGAAACAATATCCGAATCCGCGGCCTACCCGAGACGATCACCCAGGAGCAGCTACTGCCCACGCTCAAAGCTATTTTCCAAGAGATGGCCCCAGACCTTACACCAATCGGGGGGGGGGGGGACCACGGGGATCTGGACATGGGACGGGCCGGACCGGCTTGATCCCGGACAATTCAGCAAAAACCCCTAGCTACTTGGGAAATATACTCACGTCTCCCTGTGAGCACCTCCTGATCTGTCCCTCTTTCCACCCCTTGCCCCATTGCCCCCCCACGCACATCTTAGGCTTAATGACAAGGTCTGGAGCATACTGCCACCTGCCCGTGAACCTCCTATACCTAAAAAGGGAATACCCCTCACAACTCACGGAACAACACAGACGGCCCGGTGGTATACACTTAAGCCCCAATGTCGGACCCTACCCCTCCACTAGCAGTATAACTCCATCATATCACTATAAAAGGGAGGGCGGAGGGGGACCATACACACATATATAAAAGGAAAAAAGAGGGGGGGGGAAATAAAAATAAATAAATAAAAAACTCAAACCAAACCACGAAAATAAGCCGTGAAAAAGTGGGAAATTCTGATAGGGGAGTTGAGGGAAGGGAGAGATGAAAAATACGTCCCTGGGCATACCTCCATCTAAGCGAATGGGACCACTAGGGTACACAGATACTCCCGGAGGACACCCTCACTTCCGAAGGCTCCCAACCCGACTCACACCTTGCCGAAATACAGGGATATAATCTTGGGCCTCCTGCTCCACCGGGGTTACACAGCCCCGACCCCAAGAGTACCACATTACATTTACCCAAGGAAAAGGCCCGCTCTCACAACACTCCTACACGGCTCAAACGCTCCTTGTCCCACGGACAGGGCTCACTCAAGGAGACCGGGTAACTCCCATACTAAGCCTCACCAACGCAGAACCTCCTCACTCCTACCCTCAGCGCCCCCACGTCTAAACAATATCTATACACACAACTGCGGGTAAATGCAACCTGAAATTCCTATCTGTTCAATGTTGTTCAATCATGCTTTGGCATGCTTTTCTTTTCACGTTAGCTCCAGTCCGGAGCAGCACTTCATCTCCAGACGATGAATACATTGCACTCGATACGGGACTGACCCCCACTTCAACGACGCTCCTCACGGACCATCAACCCCACTTCGAGACAACCACCCCGGACGCCAACTGACCTCCATTCCCCACTTGTGACTCCACAGAGGGACCATTCTCGACTTCACCTAGGACCACTATCCTAGGAAACCCTCAACCGTGAGTGTACCACACAACTCCGTGCTGCTGGGGGGAGGACGAAGGGAACGTGAAAACCTTCCTCCTCTCCCCCCCAGACTCACACCAACGCCGACGACAGGGCGCAACATACGTACGACCCCCACCCCTCAGGCTACACTAACACCCCCCCAAACGACACCACCTGGCAGGTAACCCATAAGACCAGGGACTCTACAAACCCGACCCCCAACACCCGCACCCACCCGCCCGGGACGCCAACCCCCTTACCCCATAACCCCCCCTCGCGACTACCCATTTCTCCTCCCGGGGACCACTCCGACCCCCATATCCCCACTACACCCACAACACCTGAGATGCCTAGATCACTCTCGTGCATATCACTCAACTGCAAGGGCCTCAACAACCCAGCTAAAAGACACCAACTCTTGAGATGGGCGACCCGCTTGCGGGCGGACCTGATCCTCCTACAAGAAACACATTACGTAGACTCTAGACCCTTCCCTTTACGCAACAAACACTACACCACATGCCATCTAGCTAATTCCTACCACGGTAAACACAATGGAGTGGCCATCCTGATCCACAAATCCTGTCCGATTCACTTTACGCGCACTATCTCAGACCCCCAAGGCAGATACCTCACAATAGTGGGCCATCTAGGGACCCAAAAATACGCGATCACCTCCATCTACGCCCCTAATACTCCTGACCCATCCTTCTTGTCGACCCTCACAGCACATCTAAAGCTGTTCAGTTCCCACCACCTGGTTGTAGGTGGAGACTTCAATGCGACTATGGCCCCAGAGCTTGACCGAAAACGCCCCACACTCCATGCGAAAGGTTCCACCCCCCACCCCACAAGATTAGATAAGTTGCTCTCCAACTTCGCACTCCACACGAACCTCCATGACGTATGGAAACTACAACACCCCAACACCCTGGACTTCTCATTTTATTCGCATCCCCACACCTCATACTCTAGAATTGACATGTTCCTAATCTCCCCCTCCCTGCTACCTCAGGTCACAAACACAACAATTGGCACCATCGCATGGTCCGACCATGCGGAAATCTCCCTTGAATTAGACATCCCCCTAGCGACCAGATCCTGGACTTGGAGATTAAACCCCACTCTACTGCAAAACCCGGACATCATGAGGGACACACGCACAGCCATAGAAAACTATTTAACCGAAAACTCAAACTCGGTCGCTTCAACTAGCTCACTATGGGCAGCACACAAGGCGGTAGTTAGGGGCACACTAATTGAGCAGGCCACCAGGCTCAAAAAATTGAAGCTCAAAGAATTAGAACGCCACATAACCTCCGTGAGAATCGCCTCGGCCCAACACAAATTAGATCCCTCCTTAGACAAACTGGCACAAATACAGATCCACCAACGGTCTATCATAGCCAAAGACTCCCAAAAGTCGCTCCTGTGGACTAAACAACTCTTTTATGATAAATCTAACAAAGCAGACTTGCTCTTAGCTGCAAACTCCGCCAAAAAGCACAGGCCAAACGTATCGACGAAATTAAATCCCCCGGAGGCACCACGCACACCACCCCCCGACCGAATCGCCGCCACCTTTGCCACGTACTTCACAGAACTCTATGACCATAGAACACACCCTAAGCATAATCAACCCCACTTGCTTGACCCCCAAGCCATCGACTCTTACCTCCGAGACATCCCCCTGCCTGCACTGTCGGAAGAAACCAAACAACGCCTCATCTCACCTATTACAACGGAAGAAATTGCCCTCATAGTTAAAATCACTCAAACCTCATAAATGCCCGGGCCCAGATGGTTTTACGGGCCAATACTACAAATCATTCTCGGCTGCCCTCCTTCCACACCTTGCCTCACTCTATAACTCGCTACTCCAGGGAGAGACTCTACCTGCCGACATGCTGAGGTCAAACATCAGCCTAATTCCGAAACCCAACAAAACACTCACCGACCCAGGCCACTACAGGCCGATCTCCCTCCTCAACGTAGACATCAAAATCTTCACAAAACACCTGGCGAATCGCATCCAACACTCCCTACCTAAATTAATCCACCCCGACCAGGTGGGATTTATCCCATCGAGACAGGCCAACGATAATACCAGATGCACACTAGATCTCATATGGGTAGCAACACACCGGAAGATCCCAACCCTTCTTCTGTCCATGGACACCGAAAAGGCATTCGATCGGCTCCTCTGGCCTTTTCTATTTACCGCCCTCAAAAAATTTGGCGTCCCCGACCCTCTGATAGAGGCCCTGTCTTCCCTCTATAACAACCCAACGGCCACCCTCCTTATACCCAACTCTAGCCCAACATCGATTACGATTAAAAACGGAACCAGACAGGGCTGCCCCCGTCCCCGCTCCTCTTTGCCCTCTCCCTTGAACCCTTATTGCAAAAAATACGCGACTCCAAATTAATCACCGGCATCACCGTGAGACAAAACGAATACAAAATTTCGGCCTATGCCGATGATATCCTCCTCAGACTTACAAACCCTCGCCAATCCATACCCCCCCTACTGACTCTACTGGACGAATACGCAGCAGTCTCGGGGTACAAATTAAACCTAGACAAAACCGAATCACTCCCAATTGGGATCCCAGAACGTGACCTGAACAACCTACGACGCTCACACCCATTTAAGTACAACGACATCAGCATCCCATACTTCGGCATACTCCTACCGGCCAACCCGACTCCACGTACGAATTAAACTACCCCCCCTTAATCCTCCAAGCCTATACAGATCTCCAGACCTGGAACACCATGCCTATTTCATGGATGGGGAGGATAGCCTCCATTAAAATGAATTTACTCCCCAGATTCCTGTACCTATTTCAGACTTCCCATCCCTATCTCCCGAAAGGACTTCAAAGCACTCCAAACAAAAATTGACAATTTCATTTGGTCTATCAGAAAACCCAGAATAAGGAGATCCACAATGTACAAAACCACGAAAACAGGGGGACTGGGGCTTCCCAACTTCCTACACTATTTCCAGGCGGCCCAATTGACACAAATACAACACCTACATGCCCCCCCAGGACTAAAACTATGGGTAGATCTCGAACACGACCTGTTGGGAAGGGACCACCCCTCACTACTCCTCTGGGTTCCCAAACAATCCAGACCCACCACTCCACAAACGTCCCCAGCCCTCAATACCTCTTTTCAGGTGTGGGATAAGACTATACCGAAAACCCGACTTGTCAACTCCCCCTCACCCCAATCCTACGAAACAAACAATTCCCCCCCGGGATGAATCCCCGAGACTTCGCGCATTTCGAAGACAACGATCTCTTCCGTTTCTACCACTTCTTTCAATCCAATCAACTGCTCCAATTCCCAGACTTGCCCGGACACACACCGCTGACCACCTTTGACCACTTCCGCTACCTCCAGATCCGCAGCTTCCTCCAACACCCCCTCCACTCCTCCACGGCCACCACTACCCTGACCCAATTCGAAAGAGACTGCTTACACTCTCCGATACGCAAAGGCCAAATCTCCTTCATTTACCTCCAACTGAACTCCGCCTCCCCGACAGAAGCACTCGCATACACCAAAGCGTGGGAAAGGGACATCGGCCCCCCCAATGACCCGTCAGACTGGTCGGCAATATGGGAGGCGACTGCTTCCCTCACCATATGCGTTAACCATAGAGAACAGGCCTATAAAACGCTCCTCCGATGGTACCTGACGCCCCTACGGTTGAAGCAGATGAAATGCTCGACCACTGACGACTGCTGGAAGGGCTGCGGGTCACAGGACACCTACATTCATGCCTGGTGGCACTGCCCACACATAACACAACTCTGGACAAAGGTGGCGGACCTAACATCAGCTCTCCTCCACACTGAGATCCCACTAGACTCGTGG